GCCACGGCACCTCCTGGTGCTGCTCAGCGCAGCTGCCCTCACTCCGGGGCCTCCATCCCGTCATGGGAAGCCGCCCTTCCCAAAAGGAGCCGTGGCCGTCGAGTCGACTGGTCTCCCTCGCAGGACTGAGCCCAGCAGGGGCTCGATTCGAACCCGCAGCCCGTGCAGTGGCTGCCACAGGGCTGTTGGCCGCCCAGGCCGAGCTCCGGGTGGCCAGCCGTGCTTGTGGGGGCCACACTTCGGGCCCCGAGCTCGCCGCCGCGGCCTGCCTGTGCTACCCCAGGAACTAGCCGCTCGCCTGGGTGGGGGAGTCGGCAACCGCGGGGGCCCGGCTGAGGCTCAGGCGAGCGAGGCTTCTGGGCTGGGGCCGGGGGGAGCAGCTCCCTCCAGGCGTCCCAAGGAAGGCCTGCTGAGAGCAGAGGAGAACCTTCTTAGGAAACGCGCAGTCCTTGCAAGGTGGAGGAGTCCTTGCCCCCCGCTGCTGTTCCTCGGCTTACTGTCCGGATGGTCCCGATTCTGGTGTGGCCAGCAACTCCTGCGCCATCAGTGACCTCCATGAGCCATGCGATCGTCCCTGCCAGGGCTTCCCACATGTCCCACATCCCCCCCCCCCCCCCGGGTCTCCCCCATTCCCCCCCCCCCCCCCCCCCCCGCTATAATTGGCCTTTCCCCTCCCTGCCTGTCCTGAGTGCTCAGCAGCCCACGGGAGCCGTGGCCCGAGCGAGGCCACCTGCCTCTAAGGCACCGCAGGGCCCTGCCATGTTGGGGGAGGCTCTCGCCCCTGGGGAGAGGTGGCCACGCAGGCATGGTTTTGCGAGCTCAGCCTGCTCCTGGGAGCACTCGCCCCCCCCCCGCCCCCGTGGCTGTTCATGCTTCCCACCTGGACCCGGCCGCCCCTCACAGCCACGGTCGAGGCTTGATGGAGGTTGCCCAGCGGCTCTGAGCGTGGGCTCGGCTCGGGTTTAGGCTCCGGTCGCAGCTGGCATGGTAACCTCTTCAAATCGCACGCTCGGCGCGATGAGGCGAGTGGTGCAATTTTAAGAAAATGCCGCGAGGCGCAGCATGCAGGCACAGAAGGAAAGGGAGCCCCTCCCGGAAGCAGGCGCCCAGGGAGGAAGCTGGGCACGCGTGGGAGCAGGAAGCGTGAAGAAGGGTGCCACACTGGAGGCCGGGTGGCTGCCCACGGCCACGGCCCGGCGGGCGTCCAGCTCATGGGTGTGCGGGGAAGCACAAGAGGTTTCTGGCCTCGCTCAGGCCCGGCGGTCAGATGAGGACAGGGATGGGGCAGCGCTTCTGCGGGGGCAGCTGGACCTTGGCCCCTAAGCGCTTGTCTTCGCTGCGGGCCTGGCTGGGTTTCTCCCGAGCAAGGCGTGCCGTGAGCCAGCTGGCACCGGAGCCTGGATCCTGCTCGGGCTTCCTTCTGCCTCGGGGAGTCCGAGGACCACGCCTGCCTCCTTTTGGTGGTCACGGCCCGTGCGGCTGTTTCCCTCCGCCAGCTGCAGCAGGGCCCTCTTGGCCGGCCTTCCTTCCTGGCGCCGGCAGCCCTTCGCCCCCCGTAGCAGCTCGGCCTGCTTTCTGCAGGATGCGCCCAAACGCCCCCGCCACTGCACAGGGACCCTTCCCTGGACGGGCTCCCTCAGGGCCAGCCCAGGGGCTCAGGCTGAAGAGCCGCGTGCGTCGTCGCATTCCTGCCGCCGGAGCGTGAGCGTTTGGAAGGATTTACAAACTGCCACCTCGTAAGGCGTTCTGTTTGCACTGAGCGTTTTGCCAGATTGCCCTCATGAGAATGCGCTGTGCCAAATGCAGTGGCACGGCTGCTCGGGGGGTGAGCGCCCGGCCCGGCCCGGCCCAGCCCGGCTCCGGTGAGGCTGCCTGGGCCACGTGGATGCCACTGCCGGTGCCCATGGGCTTAGGTTTTACCTTCTCAAATCTGGCGGGGAGGCCTGTGCAGAAAAGCAAAGTGCTGCCTTCCAGTGACGCCCCCCCCTGCGAGGCGAGGGCCCACTCCATGGCGCCGGGCTTCTGCGAGAGGATCCAGGGCATGCCAGGGCTCTCCCCCGCCTCCCCCTCTGCCCCCTCACCTTTCCAGGCACTTCGTGTTCCTCACGTGCTGTGCCGTAAGAAGAGATGGCCGCACGGGCTGGGCTACGGGATTGACGGGAAGTGGCCGCTGAACTGGGGGGGCGAGCCCAGTGCCTGGAAGAGCCTTTGGGGAAGGGCATTTGCCGCACGGGGAACGAAGCAAGAGGCATCCCTGGGTTAACTGGGCAATGTTTTCCCGCTTTCCCAGTGAGAGAGCTGGAGTGTTTGGCCCGTGGCCGACGGAGTGAGTGTCCGCCCAGGTCACCGCGGCCGACTTGCACCCCCGCAGGCCAAGCCGGACGTGCTGCGCACAGGAGCAGCCCGTGGACTTTTGTTGGCAGAAAGAAAACATCTTTCTGCTGAACAGCAGCTCGGACTGGAGAGTGGCGCGCACAGCGCATGGCTCCGGCGGCCTGCAGCTCGGTCTCCGACGTGCTGCTTGACGTGCGGAATGAGCTCCTTTCCACGGAGTTCTCTGAGTGGCGGAATCAAGGTTGCATGCGGAGCATTTTTTGTGCAAATACAAAGTTTGGGAAGGGAGAGGAGGAGTGTCCCGCTTGCAACCTGCCGGGTGGGAGGGCAGACGGAGGCCTGGCGGACGCGCGTGGAAGCTGGAGGGCTGCAGACGAGATCCCTGGGAAGGGTTCCTGCCGGAGAACTGAGGCTGTCTTGGGCCCAGTGCTCTGTTCACACGTGGACCACCCCGTTGCGCATGGGCTCCTGCAAGCGACCGTGCGGTGCCGCTGCACCCTCCTGCCCACGTTCCCCAGCAACTGGAGCATGAAGGCACGCCGCCTTTGGCGCTGGAGGCCACGTGCCGCCCTTGGGACCACACGCCCTCCGGGAGTTCATCCAGCGTCTCTTCGGAGCCGCCCAGGTGAGGCCATCGCTGCAGCTGGGACGGTGCACCTTGCAAAGAAGGGGCTTCCCTGGTCTCCGGAATCTCCCGCCAGCCAGCCTCACGGGAGGACCCTGTGGCGTCCGGTGCGGTGGGGCGAGGGAGAAATGCCTCCTGGCACACTTCCTTCGTGTCAGGCGCAGCTCTGTGCTCCTCTCGCACCTCCCCTGACTCCCAGCCCTCGTCCCCTCTGTTCTCGGAGGCGCCGCTGCCCCCCCAGATCGCTCCAGGGCTGCTCCTTCCGTGTCTTGCAGTGAAGAGGACCTTCCTGGCCGGGCCAGCACAGCGGACAGTGGGGAGGGGTCAGAGACCTGGCGGGAGAAAGCTCAGACCTGCCGTCTTCCATCTTGGAGAATTCATGGAAGACGGGAGAAGCGCCAGGTGACTGGAGAAGGGCTCGTGTTGCCCCTGCCTGCAGGAAAGGCGGGAAAAGGTGAACCGGGGAGCTGCAGACCAGTCCGTCTGGCATCAGTCCCTGGAAAAATTCTGGAGCAGATTATAAACTGTCTGCAGACACCTCGAAGACAATGCAGTGATGACTTCAAGCCAACATGGATCCCTCCAGAAGCAATTTAGTGCCAGACTAATTTCATTTGTTGACTTCACTTTTAACCTCCCTGATGGACTGGAGGGATGCTGTAGACGAAGGAGGATTAAATTGGCAGATGGCACAAAGCTGGGTGGGAGAGCAAATACCCTGGAAGGCAGAGAGGAGATCCAGGGCGAACTCGACAGGTTGGGATGCTGGGCGGAGAGCGGCAGATGGAATTCCGAAGGGACAATGCCACGTCCTCCGCCAGAAACGAGAGACCGAGAGCGCCGCTTGCAAGATGGCGGACACGTGGCCGAACGGAACTGATAAAGAAAAAGCGCTCGGAGTGACTGTGGGCAGCAGGCCAAGACTGAGCCAGCGGTGCGATGCAGCCGCCAAAAGGGCAGATGCTGCTTTGGGGCGGATTAATAGGAGCCTCACTTCCGAAAACACGCGGACTGCTAGCTGCACTGCTCTCGGCACTGGTCGGACCTCGCCCGGCGTCTCGCATCCAGTTCTGGGCACCCAAGTTTTGAAAAGATGCTGGAAAGGGTGCGGAGGGGGCAGCAGGGATGGGGCAGGGCTTGGAAACGCTGCCCTGTGGGGAGAGACGGAGAGGACTGGGCAAGCTCAGCCTCGAGAAGGCTGGGGGGACACGATGCCCCTCCTGAGGTGCCCGAGATGCCGCCACAGGGAGGAAGGTCGAGCTCTCTCCTCGTTCGTTCCAGAGTGCAGGACCTGGGATCTCAGACTGGCGTTAAACGGAACCCGATTTGGACTAGACTCCAGGGAGAATTTCCTCACTGCCGGAGCAGTACGGCAGCGAGCCTCCCCCCGGGGGGAAGTGTGGGCTCCCCCTCGCTGGAGACGTCCAGAAGGCAGCTGGGCAGCCCCCTGAGTGGGGTGGTGTGACGGGGAGCCCTGCGCTGGGCGGGGAAGGCGGTTGCCCCGAGGGCCTTCTGGCCCCTTCCAGCCCCACTCTTCTGGGATTCCACGGAATGCTGCGAGATGCAAAATGGGCTTTGCTGACGGATGTACCCTCACGCGGTGCCCGGGCCCCTGAAGTTTGGCTGCACTGCCGTCCCCGGCGAGGGAGGAATGGGGGGCAGGCCCGTGGTGCCCGTCGCTTCCGGCTGCACGAGCGTGTTCTGGAGGTGGAACAGCTGACGACTGAGTCACCAGCCCCACCGCTTCTGCGCGTCTCACTCCTCTTTCTGTGGCGCTGAAAGGCACTAGCAGAGAGCAGCGATCCAAGGACGGGGGGCTGCAACGGAACCCCCCAGGTGGACCCGGAATTGGACTTTGAAAAGGCAACCAATGGCAAGACGTGGATGTGAAGCAAAATGCCGCAGGGACCGGGGGTGGGGGGTTCCAGGAGGCCGTTTCTGTCAGGCTGCTTAGTAAGGCACGAATGCCCCGGCTTGGAAGAAGGGGGTGCCGCCCCCAGTGTGTGGGGCAGGCCTTGCAAGGTCTCTCAGGCCCACCTCCATGCGCTGCGCCTGCCTGGCAGCCTCGGCACCCGGACTTGGCCTGGGTTCTGCTCGCAGGCCCCCGGCCTCTGGTCCCCACGCCACCGCTCAGGACCTTTCTCGGGGTTTTGTCAGGCGAGTTGCTCGAGGCAGAATCGATCCCAGACTGGGCGTTCCGGAAAGGCTCCGTCTTGGCCGGCACGGGTGGCCACCCGCCGCCCCCTCTGCCCTCCTTGCAGCAGCGGAGAGGCCTGTCTCCCCCTTTGCGAAGAGGACTGCTCCTCCGGTGGCGCTGCCCCCTCCCTGTGCGCAAACCGGCGGGGCCTTTGTGGGGGCCGCCGGGGGTGTGCGGGGGCTTTGCCCGTTCTGCCTCCAGCTCTGCTCCCAGGGGCTGGGCAGTCCAGTGCGTGCCGGGACAGGTACCCCGGGCCATGTGGCCCAGCTGCTTCAGGCAGGAACACGTCAGGCTGGCTCCAGGAATGTGGCCTGGACCAGGCAAGGGCTCTCCAGAGCAAGCACAGACAGTGGGGAGGCGTCGGAAGCGGCCAGGGAACGGTGGGCCAGCTGCTTCTGGGGAGCTCTGCGGGCTCCACCGGGAGGGCGGGGGCTTGATTGCGATGCTTCTGCCCTCTTACTCATGCAGCTTATATTTGGCGGCTCGTCAGTAAAATGCCGGCCGTGAACAGTAAAGGGGGACTGCAGAGGATATTTGGATCATGTCTTTAATGAAAATCTTTAAAGTCAGTAATGCCAGGAAAACCATTATTGGGAAGACTCGTTTCAATGGCTGCGACCGAGGGAGAGAGGCCGCCGCCTGCGGATCCCCGAGGAGGAGCCGGGTGCGTGCCGGAGGCGCGGCCCCTCGGACGGCAGGCCTCTGGGAGCTGGCGAGAGTGCTTGACCCGCAGCCAGGCGGACGGAGCCGGGGAGGCCCCAGCCTAGGGCCCGGCAGCCACGAGCAGACCGTCCACCCTGCCTGTGCTGCTGCACCTTTCTCTGGAGGAGCCGCCTGCCAAAAGGAGGCTGTGGCTGTAGCTCCCGGACCAGGGCAGCCCCACACAGAGTGGGTTGCGGCAGCCCAGCCCGCGCGGGGCTGTACCACCCCAGCCAGCTGCCCTGCTCCAGAGAGGCCCTGGCTGGCGGAGCCGGCAGCCCTGACCCAAGCTCCCATGGCCGCGTGGGCCTCCCGCAGCGCAGCTGGGCCCGGGAGCAGCCCGGGCCGTGATGGGGGCCTTTCGGGGGGCCCCCTCCAGCTCAAGCCGCAGGCCTCCCCCTCCGGGCTTCCCTCCTGCTGGGCATCAGCCACAGTGGACTGGCTGCCACCCGGCCCATCCCGGAGTCCAGGCACCAATCCTTGCCTGGCTCAGACATCCCGGGCGCCATCGACTGCAGCTCCCCCCAGGATTGACCCCGTGGCTCCCTGCAGGCTTTGCAGAGCCCTGGGGACAAGTGCCTCCCTCTCCCTCCCTGCCCCCTCCCTCACTTTTCCTCTCCCCCCCCCCCATCAAAAGTGAGGGGCTGCACACACCTGTTTGCATCCCCACCTCCTGCTGCTGGCCCAGCAGCTTGCCAAAAGGGCCCCCGTGCCTTCCAGCCAGCCAGCTAAAAGTGGCCCCCCTTCGCACCTGGGACGGGTAACAGAGAAAGGAAAGGGGTTTCCCGGAAGTGCAGTGCGCAAAGGCCCACAGCCCCCGCCCTCTGGAAGGGAGCGCTCTGCTCCGGCAGGTGCATCTCCGCGAGGAGGGCAGGACAGGCAGGTGGGGGGAGCAGCGGGGGACCTGGGTCTGTCTTCCGGCAGAGCTGTGGACGTGGAGAAAGGACTGGCTCTGACCTGCGCCCGGTGAAGTGGCACTGCGTTTAAACGAGCTGCTGGGCCACAGGTGGGGCAGCGTCGTGGGTCAGGCAGTGTGCAGCCGTGCATTTCCCGAGGGATTCGTGGGCCACGATCTGCCAGCGGCTCACTCCTGAGGCGAGGGCACGCGGGTCGGGCTGCTCCGGGAGCCGAGTTGAAAGGGAGTCACAGGCAGCCCGGGCAAAGTTCCCGCAGCCCCGGCTGGCCCAACTGCCTAGAGTGGCTGGTCTCGGTCCCAGAGAGGGCCTTCCTCCGTCCGCCCCCAGGGCCCTTCTGAGTGACTCGTGCTGCGCAGACACTGAACCTGTGTGGCCGCGCGAGACCCCGTTGGCGCTGCTCCGCTCCGCAGACGTGGCTGGTGTGCCACGGCTCGCCGACATCGGCACAAGAGGCAGCCACAGGCCCGGAGCGAGTCACGCGCTGCGCAGCCAAGCCTTTCCCACTCCTCTAGGGCTGCCCCCCTGCTGAAGCACATGTTCCCCTCTCAGGAGTGTGCCCCCCCATGCGCAGAGAGCTCCCTGATCGGCCACTCGGAGTGTGCTTGTGGCACCCCAGCTTCCGCTCGCGCCCTCGAACCCACTTGCCCAAGGGCTTCTGCCAATCGCTCCGGACATCAGGCCGCCAGAGGAAGGGGGGAGCCGCAGGCGGCGCGCCCCCCTGCGGGGAGAGGGGCCCAGTGGGGCAGCAGCACTGGGGGAGCCTGTCGGTCCTCCGGACCCACGGGCTGGGAACAGCAAGTGGGGGCAGGCAGGCAGGCCAGCGCGTGCGAGCACCGGAAGGGCGGGATCCCTTCCCGATCAACGCAGGGGCGGCATGGGGGGCTCGGGCGGCATGGGGGGCTCGGGAGGCAGGGGGCCCGGCTCCAGCTCGGTATCGCGGGAAGGGCCCTGACTGCCAGAACCGCGCGGGAGGAACCTCTTGCCTGGGGAAGCGGGGCTCCCCCCGCGGGGGCATCCGGAAAGCGCCTGGGCGGTCGCCCGGGGGGGGGAATGGTGTGGCCGGGCCCCCCCGCCGGGCCCCGCCCCGCCCCGATTCCCCGTGAGGTTGCCTAGGACGGCTAACCGCCCGCTGTGCTGCTTGCAGGTGAGGACGAGAAGTTCGCCGCCTCCCTAATGGACGGGAAGTTTCCCCGGAGCACGTCGATGCAAGACACGGTCCGGGAAGGGCACGGCATCCCGCCGCCGCCGCAGACGGCCCCGCCCCCGCCCCCCCCCCCGTACTACTTCGACACGGGCGCGCCCCCCTCCTTCTCGCCGCCGCCGCCGCCGGGGCGGGTCTACGACACGGCGCGGTCCAGCTTCAAGCCGGGCCTGGAGGCCAAGCTGCACGGGCTGCCGCAGGTGATCAGCGCGGCCGAGCTGTACGACCAGGCGCGCGCCGGCGGCCCGGGCCCGGAGCGGCAGAAGCGCGCGCGCTCCATGATCATCCTGCAGGACTCGCCGCACGCGCCCGCCGAGCCGGCCCGGCCCGGCCCCGCCGCCACCCCTCCGGAGAAGCTGAAGCGCAAGGGGCGCGCCGCCGACAACCCCTACGCCAACATGGGCCCCTTCAGCGTGGGCCTCTTCGCGCCCGCCAAGCCGCAGCGCAAGAAGAGCCCGCTGGTGAAGCAGCTGCAGGTGGAGGACGCGCACGAGCGCGCCGCGCTGTCCGTGGCGGGCGCCTTCGCGCGGGAGCCCTCCCCGACGCGGCCCGGGCACCGCCTGGCCGGCGCCGAGCCGCCCGCGCCGCCGCCCGCCGGCGCCGCCAGCCTGCCCTTCCCCGCCGCCGTCTCCGGGGCCCTGAAGGAGCGCGAGCGGCGCCTGGACGAGAAGCGCAAGTCCACCGTCTTCCTCTCCGTGGGCGCCATCGAGGGGAGC